GCTGAACCCATCCCATGGGAAACCCCAGCAACCCCCATGGCCCCCCAGAGCACTGCATCTTGCCCAGCAGCAGGGGCTGGTGGCAGGGTGCAGGGGGGACCCCAGTGTTCACACAGCCCTGGGCACACTGACTGCTCCTTCACTTGTTCCCAGGTGTGAAGTTGTTTGGGTTTGGTCCTTCCAACTGTAGCCACAGGATGGGGCTTGGAGTGACCTGCTCCAGGGGGAAATGTCCCTTCCCATGCAGGTGGGTTGGAACTGGATGATGTTTAAGGTCCCTTCCAACCCAAACCAGTCTGCAATTCTGTATAGTTTTATAGGCTTGTTTTGTTTTAAAAGTCTCCCCAGGCCTGTTGCATTTCTGCAGAGCTGGCAGGGCTGGGGTTGAAATCCCCTGTCTGCTCCAGCTTGGCAGAAGGTGGGCAGAGGGGGGGTCAGTGTTCCCAGCCTGCCATCACTTCCCACTGCCATGGCCAAAGGGAAACGGGAGGGACAAGTCCTGGTGCTAAAGCCCTTGGGAAGACCTTTCCACACCATTTCAAGAAGCAGTTTCACATCACAGAGCACATTTCCAGAGCGAGCCATTCTTAAATGTGCACACAGATGTACTTCTGGTGCCACATGTGTGGGATGTAGGCAGGTACACCTGAGACATACCTTTAGAAATCTTTCTGAAGGTAGATTTATGCACGTGCTTTCCTGATAATGTGACATCACCTTGGGGAGCTGAGCAGGAGGCCCCAGTGCCCAGAGGGAAGGCAGCACGGTGCTGGCTCTGGAGATCCAGTCTGGTCCCAAGGCAATGTGGGCATCCCTGCCTGCTTGGGTGTTCATCCACAGAGCCAGCTTTTCCTAGGTAATAAATCCATACCACACCTGCTGAAATACATTTGAAAGTGAGGAGAGGGAGGGGTTAGATCAGAAACATAAAAGGAACTCACGTTCACATTTTCCAAGGTGAAATAAAATGCACAAGCAATGACAAATACACTGTGCATCAGTGAGTGGGATTGAAAGCCTTGTGGCCAGCAGGTCAAGGGAGGGGATTGTTCCCCTCTACTCCATCCTGGTGAGACCCCCCTGCAGGGCTGGGTCCAGTTCTGGGATCCCCAACACAAGAAGGACATGGAGCTGTTGGAGAGAGTCCAGAGGAGACCGTGGAGACGATCCCAGGGCTGGAGCAGCTCTGCTCTGGAGCCAGGCTGGGAGAGTTGGGGTGTTCAGCCTGGAGAAGAGAAGAGGAGAGATTTAGACTACTTACTAGGAAGAAATTCTTTGAGGACACAACCAGGACACAGCCACAGCTCCCAGCACGCTGGGGGAGCTCCCTGAGCATCTTCCCTTCACACAGTGATGGTCCCACCTCCAGCAGACACTGAGGCTCCTTTCACCCCAGCTCCACCACCGACATCTGCACCAGACAGCTGGAGAATCTAAACAGATAATTACCTCAGCATGCATCACGGTGCCTTTGTTATTAAGGTAGTGATTAATTGTATTTAAAGTAGACCAAATGACATTGAAAACTTGAACAGCTTTGCTACCAACATAAACCAAAAATAAACTGTAACCCCAACCAGATCCCCATCTGCCTGTTCTTAGCTTGCACTGCAGAGTAAACATTGGGCTGTTTGGGTTTCTTTGTTGGTTGGGTTTGGTTTTTTTAAAAAAGTTGCTTGAATGTTGTTTTATAACACTGAGTTTTATTTTCTGAATTGCAGGATCAATAAGGCATGTGGTTGCTTTATAAAACATGCACTTCTTGAGGCTTTGATTGCTCCAGTTGCATGCAGGACATGGAGCTGATCCTGGCAGAGAAGCCCCTGTCCCAGCACACACCCTGTCCCATATTAGCATGACCATGAAGGTCTCCAGACCCTCCCTCAGCTCCACAGCAGCCATCCCCCCACCACAGGCACAGCCCAGGACACCAGCACAGATTTGGCATCACTGTATTTCCCAGCAATAGGCCAAACTTCCATTTCCCATACTGGATTTGAAAAAGACCATTTTTCACCCCATTTTCTGTTTCCATTACCATCCTTCTTATTCTCACCAAGGTTTCCCTCCCTGCTTGCCCACAGGGGACATGCAGCACTGAGCACTGCTTTGGTGGGTTGCAGCCATTACCTGATGTTATACCAGACCCTCCTTGTCTCCTGTCAAAAGTGGCCAACAGCTGGAGGAGAAAGAGAAGCTGCCTCACACAGACCTGGGCTTGCAGCTTTTGAGCCCTCAGC